CAAGTAAAGGTTTGAATTTTTTGCATTCCCTCAGTATGAGAAATGCTGACTGTGTTCCTCCCTTTTGGTTTTTCTAACTCCATCTTTGCACATTTTGTTATATTGGACTTTGTCTTCTCTAGCTGACCTTTGAAAATTTCTGTTCAGCTCTTGTACCTCCTCACTTCTTCCATTTTCTTTATCATCTCTTCACTGGAGAGCAAGTTTCAGAGTGTCTTCTGACATCCATTTTGGTCTTTTGCTTCTCTTTTGTCTTCTCAATGACCTTTTGCTTTCTTCCTGTATGATGTACTTGATGTCATCCCACAACTCATTTGGTCTTCAGTCTTTAGTATCTAATGCATCAAATCTGTTCTTCAGATGGTTTATAAATTCAGGTGTGATATATTCAAAGTCATATTTTGGCTCACATGGACTTGTTTTCATTTTCTTCGGTCTCGGCCTGAATTTGCATATGAGCAATTGATGGTGTGTTCTACAGTCCGCCCCTGGCCTTGTTTTGGCTACCATCTCTTTCCACAGATATAGTCAGTTTGATATCTGTGTATTCCATCTGATAAGGTCCATGTGTAAAGTTGTCTTTTATGTTGTTTTAAAAAAAGTATTTGCAATGAACAAATCATTGGTGTTGCAAAATTCTATCATGCAATCTCCAGCATCATTCCTATCACCAAGGCCATATTTTCCAACCACTGATTCTTCCTCTTTGTTTCCAACCTTTGCATTCCAATCACCAGTAATGATCAATACATCGTGATTGCATGTTTGATCATCACTGGCTTTAATGGTTGGTACATAAATTTGAATAATAATGGTATTAAACTGGTCTTCCCCGTGGTGTACGGACATTATCTTATCACTTACAGCATTGTACCTCATGACTGATCTGGATCTATTCTTTTTGATGATGAATGTGATACCATTCCTCTTCAATTTGTCATCCCCAGCATAGTAAACCATGTGATTGTCTGGTTCAGATTGGCCAATACCAGTCCACTTCAGCTCACTAATGCCTAGGATATTGATGTTTATGTGTTCCATTTCATTTTTGACAATTTCCAGTTTTCCTAGATTCATACTTCATACATTCCATTTTCCGATTATTAATAGATTTTTACAGCTGGTTCTCTTCATTTTGAGTTGTGCCCCATCAGCAGATGAAGGTCCCGAGGGCTTTACTCCATTCGCGTCATTACAGTAACTCTAATTTGAGGAGTCAGCTCTTACCAAGTCACATATTAAGTGCCTTCCAACCTGAAGGAATCATCTTCTGGCACTATATCTGACAATGCCCTGGTGTTCTTCATCATGTTTCAGGATTCAATAATCTGTTTTACTGCTATCCATAAGGTTTTCAATGAGTAAGTAAATATTCAGAAGTAGTTCCTCTCAGCTGCTTCATCTGTCTTCATGTGGGATCTCAGCTGAAACCTGTCCACCATGGGTGACCCTTCTGGTACTTAAAATACTGGTGGCATAGCTTCCAGAATCAGCAACACACAAAGCCACCACAAATTGACAGACAAGTGGTTGTCAAACAAATAGGGTTCAATTTAATTTAGCACACTGTTTAGAAATAAATTCATCTAAAAATGTGTCATTTTTAAGCTAATGATAAACTGTGCTCTTGTTTATGAGCCCTGGTGTGGTGCTATAGGATAACTACTAGACTTCTAATCATAAGATCAACAGTTCAAACCCACCAGCTGCACTCCATATACAGGATAGCTGCAAGTCAGAAATGACTTGATGACAATTACCAACAACAATATTTTATGTGGGGAGCACAGTGGCTCTGTTCTGAGAGCCCACCAGCCCCTCCATGGAAGAAGGATGAGGCTTTCTGCTCTCATGAAGATTTACAGCCTATAAGTTGGAACCAACTTGATAGCACTTAACAACAAAAACATAACTTATTTTGCTTGGTAAATTTAAATAAATTTTCCTACTGTAAGTTTTAATATGACCCAAGTCAGATTTTAAGGTATTTATTTATTAATGGAGGCTAAAATTAGCACCAGTTGTGACTAGAATTATATATGCCATATTTTATTTGGATATGGAGACTCTGCCTCAGTGTTTGTCAGTTTCCATAGTCTCTTTGATTTGTATTTACTCCCTCCTTTAATAGAACTAAATAACTGGCCACGTGTAAGACTGTGTTAAGTTCACGCACTGTATTAGCTTTGAGAGCAGTTTGTGGAAACCACTGTGATGTAGCTTTTCTCTGAATTTTAAAAACTTTGTGTTTTGTATGGCCTTAGCCATCCTGTCAGAAGAGCCTTTTATACTGCTTATGCATGTGAAAACAACCTGCTTGTCAAATGCATATAGGAAGCTATTTAAATTGCTTTTAGCACCATCTTGATAAAATACCTAGTAACAAAAGTTTTCTGTAACATCCTAAGAATGGATGGTGGCCAGATAACTCTGCTCTGATTTTCACTGGCTTCTCTTTCATTTCGTTTCAGACCTGGATGAATGTCAAACCAAACAACACAACTGCCAGTTCCTCTGTGTCAACACCCTGGGGGGATTTACCTGTAAATGTCCACCTGGATTCACACAGCATCACACTGCCTGTATTGGTAAGCCAAATTACACATAGGAATTTTACAGACTTGGTAGATTCAGAAAAAGTGTATTCAAAATGATAATGCTGGTGTGGTGCAGTAGTATCAACACTGGACTGCGAACCACAAAGTTGGCCGTTCAAACCTACCAGATGCTCCTGGGAAACCCTCTACAGGATCGCCATGAGTGGGAACTAACTCAGAGGCACTTACCAGCAACTAAGAAGAAAGACAAGCAGGTGAAAACCCCGTGGATCACAACAGAATATTGTCCAGTATAATAACAGAAAATGAGATCCTTAAGTTAAAGGTGTGGCACTATAGGACAAGCACTGGACTGCTAGCCACAAGGGCAGCAATTCAAACCCACCGTCTGCTCTTAGGAAACCCTATATAGGGTTGCTATGAGTCAGAACTGACTTGATGGCACTTAACAATAGCCACAGCAATGAACCGAAACATGTCTACTATTATGAAGAAGGCAAAGGACTCAGCGACATTTCCTTCTGTTACCCATAATAAGATTGCCATAGGCAGAGCCAAAGCAATGTCAACCAACCACAAAAACCCCTATTTAACACTACATTAGTCCTGGTGTGGCATTGCATGGCTAACAACTGCAAGGTCGATGGTTCAGTCTCACCAGCTTCTCCTCAGAAACCCTATATAGAGGTTGCTATGGGTTGGCGCCAACTCAACAGCATTTAACAACAACAGCAACAACAACAACAACGGTGGTTATGTGCCATGGAGTCAGCTTCAACTCATAGCAACCCTGTGTAGGGTTTCTGAGGCTGGAAGGAGCAGAAAGCCTCATCTTTCTCTCTCACCAACTGGCTAGTCGTTTCAAACTGCCAACCTTATGATCAACAGCCCAACTTGTAACACATTGCACTACCAGAGCGCCTTATTGGTGATCTGGAAAAGCTGCTAATAATAGAGATACAACTGCAGTGTTTTATTATTCTAGACTTTCTTGTTTAAAAAATGAGGACAACATCCTATGATAAAGGATTTATCCTGGCACACGAACAGTAGACATATCCCTTTATAATTCATTCTAAATACCATAACCATGCATGTCCAGATAAAATACTGTTAAAAGGCTCGCTGTAATTCAGAGCATGCTGAGCTGCTAGAATGCTTCTTATGTTGGAAGACATACCCATTAGGAACCTTCCAGTCTGTAGCATCTAACATCACATCCACAGTTGCCTCAAAACACATGTCATAACCTGTTAAAATACTCTTTTTGTTTCAACTTTTGTTCTTAATATTGACAGCTTTCATACTTCAGTTTTTATTGCAGGCAGTGAAATTAAAATCATGTGATAATTAGAAAGTGTGACACTCTTCTTCCTTCATGCCTTCCTAGACAACAATGAATGTGGGTCTCAGCCTTCACTCTGTGGAGCAAAGGGAATCTGTCAGAACACCCCTGGAAGTTTCAGCTGTGAATGCCAAAGAGGATTCTCTCTGGATGCTACTGGAATGAACTGTGAAGGTGAGTTAATTTTCTCAAAAATCCTTACTTTAATATGGCTAGCTATACATTTTACAGTTTCAAACCACTAAAAGAGAAACTGAGATTATTCCCCCTTACCCCCAAATTTATTTACTAAAACATGAGCCAGCCGTTGATTTTTAGTCTTAAATTTCCATAATATATTAAGTACTGCTTCCAAAATGATTTATCAGATAAAGACTGACTATCCTGGTGTGGCACTACGGGATAATGCACTGGACAACAAGGTCGGTTTGAACCACAATGTCAGCAGTTCAAACCCACCAGTCACTCCTTGGAAACCCTATACAAGGGTCGCTATGAGTCAGAACTACTCAAAGGCACTTAACAACAGCAACATCTAAAATACGGCCTCCTGGTATGGCGCTATAGGATAAGCACTGGACTGCTAAGTTTGTGGTTCAAACCTACCAGCTGCTTCTTGGAAAACCTATATAGTCACCATCCAAAATATATATAAAACACCTGCAGTGTAATAAAAGGATAAACAACCCAGTCCAGACATGGGCAAAGGAATGGAACATAGAGTTCACAAAGAGGATATTCAAATGTCGTTGTTGTTGTTATTGTGTGCCATAAAGTTGACTCTGCAACCACTCCGCCATATATAGGACAGACTAGAAAAGCCCCGTAGGGTCTCCTTGGCTGAAATCTTTACCGGAGCAGAGCTCCAGGTCTTTTTCCCCTTGGAGTCATTGGTAAGTTTGAACTGCAGAGCTATGGGCTAGCCCCTGAACACTTAGCTAATTGTGCCACCAGGGGTCCTCATTAGCCATTAAAACCAAAATCCTTGCTCTGTTAAGTTGATTCCAACTCATAGCTTCCCAATAAGACAGAGTACAACTGCCCCGGAGGGTTTCTAAGACCATAATTCTTTAAGTAAGGAGAGACTGCCACATCTGTCTCCTATGCCACAACTGGTGGGTTTGAACCACCAAACTTCTGATTAGTAGCCAGAACACTTAGCCACTGAGCCACCAGGGCTCCCTCATTAGTTATTAATCAAGAAACCAAACCTACTACAATTAAGTCACTGCAGACTCAAAACAATTCTATACAGGGTTTTTGAAACTGCAAATCTTTAAAGGAGACAGCTTGATTGTTCTCCAGCAGAGCATCTGGTGGGTTTGAATAGACGACCTTGTGGTTAGCAGCCCAACACCTAATCCACAGTATCGCCAGGGCTCCTTCACTAGTCACTGTTGTTGTTAAGTATTTTTGAGTCAATTCCGACCCATAGTGACCCTGTATAGGATTTCCAAGGCTACAAATCTTTACAGGAGCAGAAAGCCTCATTCTTGTCCCATAGAACAGCTGGTGGATTTGAACAGCTAGCCTTACAGTTAGCAGCCCAGGTATTGCTGTTAAGTGCCGTCAAGTCGGTTTCAACTCATAGGACCCCTGTATAGGGTCTCCAAGGAGCAACTGGTGAGCTTGAACCACTGACCTTGCGGTTCAAACTGACCCTGCAGTCCGGCGCATTAACCCACGGAACACACCAGGACTCCCCTTAGCCACTAGTGAGGTGCAAATCAAAACCACAATGAGATTGTGACAATGATTTAAAAAATAATACAAGTATTGACAAAATTGTGGAGAAACTGGAACCCTTAACTTTTGCTGGCGGGAACACAAAATGGTATAGCTGCTGTGGAAAACCCTATACAGGGCCTTTACTCCAGATGATGAATTTAGGATTGCAGTATGGCCTAGTAATCCCACTCCTAGCTATATACCCAGAAGTGAAGGCAGAAATGCAAACAGAAACGTGCATGGCAATGTTCACTTTTCACAACAGCAAAAATGAAACAACTGAAATGTCTATCAACAGATAAATGGATAAAAATATGTGGTGTACAAATACAGTGGGATATTGTTAAGTGCCTTCTGGGCAGTTCTGACTCACGGCGATGCTGTATAGGGTTTCCAAGACTCTAAATCTTCACAGGGGTCAGAAAGGCTCAGAAAGGCTCATCTTTCTGCAGAGTAGCTGGTGGTTAGCTGTGGTTAGTTTATCCTACAGAACCACACCGGAACTCCACAACGGAATGTTACTCACCCTTAAAGAGAAATGAAGTCATAAATGTGCCACGATATGTGTGAACCTTGAAAATATATGACTGATTGAAATAAGTTAGTATCAAAAGAGCAAACACTGCATGGAATGAGGATTCCTGGTGTGACACTGCAGGATAAGCGTTGGACTGCTAACCGAAACCGAAACGTTGGCAGTTAAAACCCACCAGTCCCTTCTCAGAAAACCTATACAAGGTTACTATACAAGGTTAAGTGCCAAAAAAAAAAACTATTTAACAACAACAATGTGAAGTGGGAAAATGGATAGAAACCAAAAATTATGAGTGGTTACCAGGGATTGGAAGAAAAGGGAAATGGGGAGTTTTTGATTGACTTGTAACTGTGGAAATTGTGTGTGTTTTGGTATATATGTTTTCACTACAATAAAAAAAAAAAAAAATTCTGCCGTTATGAATTGCTTTTACAGAACTATTTGCCTAATCACTGATCTGAATGTAAAAAAAAATAAAGAATTCTGTACCTAATACAATAGTATATGTGTAGTGGGGGTGGTGGGTGTAGAAGAAGAATAGATTTTTGTCATACTTACATTGTATTTAAAAAAAATAAGTGGAAAAAAGAGAGACTTTCATTATAGAAATTTAGAAAAATGGTGATAACCCATAGCTATAGCATAGTAGTTTTGAGTCAGGCTGGTAACCCCAAGGTTAGCAGTTTGAAACTACCAGCCATTCCGTAGGAGAAAGATGAGGTTTTCTGCTCCCATAAAATTTTACAGCCTCAGAAACCCTATATAGGGTCTCTATGAGTCAGAATCGACTCCACGCCACATCACCACCACCATTTCCATTGCATATGACCCAAGACTCCTACTTCACTGTATTCCCTCAAAGTGGTTTGTTGTTGTTGTTAAGTGCCGTCAAGTCGATTCCAACCCATAGTAAACCTGTCTAGGGTTTCCGAGGAGTGGCTGGTGAGCTTCAACTGGCGTCCTTGCAGTTCAAATGACTTTGCAGTCTTGACGCATTAACCCACAGTGCCGCACCAGTACTCAAAGTGGTATTTCCTGTAAATTCTCTCCTGCTAAAGGTGTTCCCTATGAATTCAAGGGAAAATGTAAATAGAAACCAAGTAAGAGTCTGCTTGGAACCAGTAAATATCATGTGGTTCTTCAGTACGAATATTTATATTCCAAATGCTAGCATATGATAAAATAATTTTAATATGATTGGTATCTTTTAGAAATGTACATGGCAGAGATTGTGAAACTATACTTTTTCATTATATTTTTATATTGTATTATAATTTATATTTCCAGTGCTTTTTAGTCACCTTTCCTTAATTGATCATTTTGAGAATTATATGACTTTAAAGAATCTAAATCTAAAACAAGGTTTAGTATGTTTCATAGGAATTATGGGACTTTTATATGTATTTTAAGCCAAAAAAAAAACTATTTAAAAATTTTTAAATTTTAAAACCCTTTTATATGTGGTGTTATTCAGACCTTCAAATATGCTAAACCTACAGCTGCTTGCCACGTGTGAGTTCAGCTCATAAGATGCCATTTATTAATTATCCCTATAAATGTGTTGCACATGCATCAGGCATGCCAGTTTTATTTCATTCCTTATGGGTAGATTTCAAAGCCTCAGTTTTCATTCCAAAAGAGTATGCATATATGAACAAAGAAATTATTCCATATGTGTAACACTGGTACATCTTGTCTAAAAATAACATTTTCAAATATTTAAAAAGGATTTGCATCTAACCATTCTTAACAGTAAAAAAACAATTGCTTATGCAAAACAATTATGTAATTTAGGTATCTCTGTATACTTATATCTTCCCCCAGATTGAGGATTGCATGTCCATCACTTTTGAATCTCTGAAATATGTAATGCAAATATATTATATCACTTATCAAATAAAGGATACCATGTGCAGCTAATCAACCCAAATGCACAACATTTGTGGTCACTGCCATGGTGGATTTACTGAAATTAAGATGTTATTTAGAGCACCAGTGTGGACTGCGTCTCCTGGGCAGCAAAAGAATGAAGTGGTTTCTTATCTCCTGACCGTTGTTTACACCATCACTGACTAATCACCATGTGACTTGGGAAAATTACAACATGTGTGCGCGCACATGCACGTGTGTGTTCTCCCCGGACAATAGCTACCATAAAGTGCATTTGAAATGCACAGAAGTAAAGGAAAGGTTTACACAGAGATTTTTTTCTGGACTTGTGTTTGCAGATGTTGATGAATGTGATGGAAACCACAGGTGCCAACATGGTTGTCAGAACATCCTAGGAGGCTATAGATGTGGTTGTCCCCAAGGATATATTCAACATTACCAGTGGAATCAGTGTGTTGGTAAGCACTCATTCTTTATGTAGAGTTCACGTCTTTCAACTGAAAGTATCTCTCTGGGTAAAGTTAAGCTGTTGTTGTTAAGTGCCCTTGAATTGGTTCCTAGCGCAGCAACCTTGTCTGATATCTGACATATCAGCCTTTGCTGGAGGAGAAAGCCTCATCTCTCTCTTGTAGAGCAGCCAATGTGTCCAAACAACTGATAGTGTGGTTTGCAGTCCCGTGCTTATTTTACAGGAACTCCTGACTCCCTCTCTGAGTAAAAAGAACAAATCATTAGGGTTGAACTTTTACCCTTTTAAAGTGAATCCTTTTACGTTTAAAAGTACTTACTGTTAATACCTAGAGAGTCCCACTCTGCCCTAGTCTCTGTGACAAGGAAGTTTGTTTTAAATACCTAAAAGGTACTCTCTCACTAGAGCCTTAAAATTTACATGTAGTGCAACTCCAAAATTAGAAACTTTCTGGTGTCAACTATCATCGTTCTCATTTGCCATGGTCAGTGGCTTTTTATCAGTAACTTGATTATCAATAGGTTTAGAGTTGAAGAATTACCCATCCACCATCCCTTCATATAAATCTAAAAGGAATCCAGATTGACGTAATGAGAACAGTCCAGCTCTGCTTGCTGCTCCAGTCAAATGGATTTCATGAAGGATGTGAAGTGCTTTAAGGTAGAAAAAGTACCTAATTACAGCAAATACTATTGGCAAGTGTAAGGCAGAGATCATGTAAAATGAAATGTATAGGCATTCACTTCTGTTCCTTACATTGATAATATTCATACATATCTCCTTTCAAGGAGATTATGGGTCAGAAAAAACATTTTTCTCTACTTGAATAGCCAGGTGAGTTATTTAGAATATGCCTAATTTCTTGACTCCTTTTGAATGCACTTCATAGTCTAGCAAGTGTGAATTTAGACATTGGCATAGCTTAGGGAAAGGAGGACAATGGTCCTGCAAAGACAGGGCAGGTACTTCCTGTTTCTCTGCAATGATTTAAATCATTCACATATCTTATTGTGAGTGATCCACATAAATTAGTTTTATCTTTTGTGATCTGCTCAAAAGATCATTTTAATGACAATTTAGTGAATTGAGAAGAAAGCCAAATTAAATTTCAAAGGAGGGAAACTAATCCTGTGAAGGTCACAACAATGCTGTGGCCTTGTTCCAGGTCAAGGCCAGATACTTTGACATACTTGGAGTGGAGATGCAAAAACCAGTAAATGATCAGAAAGGACAAAGTTTTCAAGAATTATCAAAACAATGAGTTAGACAGTCAATTAAAACCACCCCTAAATTTAATTTGCTGCTGCTGTTCTTCGCAGAAAGAAAAATGTTATAAAATTCCTCAGGCCCTGGTTTATGGATTCATAAACAGAGGTTAAGTTTTAGCCTATAGGCAATGGTATTATACTATTATATATATTATAAGGCCCATGCTTTAGCCTACAGGCAATAGTATTTTACAGATGGGTAGTCAGATAATGGAAACCAATTTATTACAATGCAGTGTTCAAAACATACGAGGCCAACTATTTTGCTCAGTAAACTTAGTTTTTAATAGTATGGAATTTAAGGCGAAAGACAATCTTATGTTACATATTGTTTCAGATTAAAGTAGATTTCTTTTTGAGCGATTATAAATAGAAAAGGGAATGTATATGGATTATCAACTGAATTTTCAAGTCTAAAGTTTCTGATTACATGTCACGTGCAGGCTTTCAGTAAATTGGGAGGCTCTGTTTGGAGTGTTCTGATCTAAAATACAGGTTGTGTGGTCTGTTCCAAGGGGCCCTGGTGTCACAGTGGTTAAAGTACTCAGCCACTAACCAAAACGTCAGTGGTTTGAACTCACCAGCCACTCCACGGGAGAAATATGAGGCAGTCTGCTTCTTAAAAGATTGACACCTTTGGGAACCGCTCGATCTGAGTTGGAATCAACTCCACTGCAATGGGTTTAGTTTTTGGTTTGGTCTTTCTCAGTGTCACTTTCTGGGATTCCTGGGGTGGGCAACTTAGTGTTGCATTTACCCCCACAGAGCTGATACAGGATCTAGCCAAGGGCCAGATGAGCCCTTGGACAGAGAAGTAAGTAGTTTCAAAGGTAAGTCCAAAACTAAAGATGTGGCAAATGTCCCTAATTGCAAGTATTCACTTGTGAGCTTGCTTTTATAAAATGGATGGGGACATAGCAGGCCCTTGAGTAAGACATAGCAGGCCCTTGAGTAAGACATAGGAGGGATTTTTCCAAAAGATGTGTGATACTTCTGTGCAAGATTGAGGAGTTGAGCTAATCTCTTAAATGAGCAAAACTATAAAACATATCAGATAATTTCAGTAAGATTAAATTGTATAACTACAACCATGTTATACAATCATGTTGTTAATGTTGTTGGCAAGCGCCATTGAGCTGGTTCCTACTCATGGCAACTCTGTATAAGGTTTCCGAAGAGTGGCTGGTGGATTTGAACTGCCAACCTGGGGGTTAGCAGTCTAGTACTTATCCTACAGCACCACATCAGGACTCCATGTTATTAATTTGTTGTTGTT